GGCTGAGGCAGGAGAATTGCTTGAACCCAGAAGGTAGAGGTTGCAGTGAGCCAAGATCATGACACTACACTCCAGCCTGGTTGACAGAGTAAGATTCCATCTAAAAAAAAAAAAAATAAAAGGCAAAGAAGGTTGCTTTAAGGATAAAAAGGAATCATACGTGCAAAGCATTTAGCGCAACACCTGAGCCATAGTCAGCAATTGTTATATAATAGCCATTATTATCATTATTCTTGTTACGGTTATCATGATTATTTATTATTGCACTGTAGGTGCTCATTAAGCTGTTGGTTAAATTGAAGTGCTGAGCATTATGCCAGGGAGGCAACATAGAGTAGTCTTGAGTAGACTAATGTGCTGGGCTCTGTGCTGGTAACGTGGTCAAAGCCCTCAATCAGAGCAGCCCACTAGGAGGGTCAAACCAGAAAGAAGCCCCAACCTTGGACAACCAGACCACAGCTCCTGGCTGGATGCACAACTGGCTGGCTGCTCAGCTACCAGATCTGAAACCCTCCTCTGCAGTCCCTTTCCCATACCTCTTCATTGACCTTCAGGAGGTCTCCACCCCACCTCACCAGAATAATGCATGTTATACCTGAACTGTATACAAATTGTGTTTTGCAAACTTTTTTCATTTATGGTCCACTTTTTTCTTTCATTAATGAATACTAGTCCTTCCATCCAATCTCATAAAATCCCCATGAGCAAGTACAGTAGTGGGTTATATGGCGAAAGCTGCCTAAGGACATATGCCTTTGAATGGATTGATTCACAGTCTAGCTTCTCGTTATGAAAATATAATCTGCTCTTGTAGCAACTCACCTTTTCCTTGCAGAAAAAGGAACAAGTTCTCAAAGACAAAACTCTTCTAAGCAAACTTTGGCTCATTTTTCTATGAGATCATGAGAAGAAGATGAGACAAAGAAAAACTGAGCTCCTGAGGGGATGGCAGAGTCCAGTGATGACAAGTGATAAAGGCAGGTTCCAGAAGGATGTGCCTGGTGTGTACCATGGCTCGGCCACTTACTAGCTAAAAGATACAAGGTGAGTTTCTGAATGTCTCTGTGTCATTCATGGGTTGCTGTTAGGAATTAAATGAGTTACTAGACATAAAATGAGTTGAGAGAATCTCATACCTAGTAAGCATTTGATAAATGTCAGCCAAGAACAAAACAAAAGAACAAGGCAGCAAAAGAGACACAGCTGGAAACAAACACGCAGAGACAGGAAAAATACCAAGCGGCATCAAGATGTGTCAAATGGAAAGTTAGCCCAACAGAGGAAGTCAAGATGTGTGTTAGAAAGCTGCTAGCATCAGCTGGGACCTCAAACCCTTAGGGAACACAGTGTGGCACTATAGGACCCATTACCCATAAGAGGCCTGTTAGGAAATAAGGATATGCCCTCTATAGGAAGGATAGGATTGAGGTAAAGTTTGGGCTTCCAATTAGGCTTAGGTTTAAAGTCTTTTTTATGAGACTTGAGATGTCTTTGGCAAACATTTGGAATAAACTCTGTACTCAAATTGCTATAAAATAGCACTTGCTCAGCTTGGGTAATAGAAGGTCAAGATGGGGTTGGCTGGTACTAAATCATGTCAGAACACTCATTTTGTTCTTCACATTGGCCCCTAACAGCCACACATAGTCAGTTTCCCTTCCTGGCCTGTGGGGCACCACAGACTCTGCCTGTGAATTAGGATGTGGCTATTCATTGTCCACTGATGACAACCACAAAAAACCTCCTATAGTGGTTTGTGCTAAAGGGCTTCCTCCTACAATCTAAAGGCAAAAGGACACCACAGAACCCTTAGGTTTTAACCAATGTCCTCTTTACATACAAGAACCAGAAAGGTATTTAACCAGCCCGAGAAGAGGAATCTATTAGAAAGTCACAGAACCCAAAGGCAAAAAGTGTAGGAAGTTTAGGGTCGAGAACCTGGGCCTATAGAGCTTCTTCCAGAAACCAGGTCAGTGGTCTACTCCCAGAACTGCCATTCCCCTTTCCTCTCCTTCTAGGGGTATGTGTCTCTCATTTCCCCCTCCCTGAAAATCTGCTCATCCTCCTTTCATTCTATGTACAGATGGGCTTTCTTGGCATCATTATTCACACAGTACAAATGGCAGCCCCAAAATGGTCACCTGGATCTGCTGGTTTATGTATCCTAAATGCCTGGAAAACAGCCTAATTCTTCCTAGGTGGATCAGATTTCCAACTATGGTACAGAAAGCTGTGGCCATGATGTGGGGATCATATAATATAACGATAGATACAGGGACCCAATCTGTGTTTGTGCGTGTGCATAATGGGGGTTGAGGAAGTTATTAAAGAAAGGGGTCTGGGTTTTGCAGGCTCCCAGACATGCATGCCTTCTTCTTCCTGAGAGGCTTTCTCCAGTAAGTCAGGAGAAAGGATGAGCAAAGGATGGATTATAGACTGTATATGTGTGTGTGTGTGTGTGTGTGTGTGTCTGTGTGTGTATGAGTGTTTGTGTATGTGTGTGTGTTCATGGTAAACTAGCTTCAAAGCTAAAACTCAGAACAGGAGGTCCTAGATTAAATTGTCATCACCATCAACATTTGGTCTAATCGACGTACTATATACCATACATATTTAAAGTATACAATTTGGTAATTATTGGCATTTGTGAACACCTGTAAAACCATCCCCACAATCAAGATAGTGAACATATCCCTCATTACTATGTTTTCTCAGACCCATTAGGTAATTCATGTTTGCTGCCCTTCCCTTCACCAAACAACTACTGGTCTACTTTCTGTCCCCATTAATTCATTTGCATTTTCTGGCATTTTATATGAATTGAACTATATAGTAAATAATCTTTTTTGTCTGGCTTCTTTTACTCAGCATAATTAGGACACAACCTTATTGCTGCATGTATTAATCATCTTTTTCTGTTTATTGCTGAGTCATATTCCATTGTGTGAATGCTTTTTAAAACATTTTTTAAACAAAACTTTTCAGAGTTCACAGATATTAAAAAAATATTCACACTAAGTACCCACAAAAATATGTGGCAGGGTAGATCTTAGCAAAATTGGAAATAAACACTTCACTCAAGTTGCTACAGCTCGGCAGAGCTATTTATATTGGGTTTATGCAAATGATTAGCAAAGAATATTGATTGCAGCATTTTCTAAGTAGTGTCCCATAACTGCATTCTTAATACTCAGCAAGAGCCAGTAAGTAACTTGTTCAGGGTCAAAAAGTTTATAAACAGTGGAGCCAGGATTGGAATCCAGGCAGAACTTGCAACAGTTGCCTAACTGGAATCACTGCCGCTGTTCCCTGATGCCAGTTAACTTCTTGAACCAGATCTAATATCACTTCCTTGCTTGAAATCTGTGGACCACCCTTCCTAGTCCCTCAATTGCCCAAGTTCAGGTTTCAATGCATTTATCTGTCTATTCATTATAAATCAACAGATAACAAGAAGCTCTAACGTTTGTTTCAAAGCAATTTTACATCTCTCAAAAACCCTGGGACATAAGCAGGTGAGTTTCAATGGCTCGTGAAGAGGCAAGACAGCAAATGTTTGTTGCTGGAACCCAATCCCAGGCCCTAACTGCCTTGTTAGACATATGCCTTGAGTGTCAGACACATTTCTTCCTTGTTCATTCAGTGCTCAGAGCTTCCTGCCATGTTTCAAGAATGTCAAATTCTTTCATCTCTCTCTCTAATTTTGCAACTGCTGTTTCTTCTGCTAGGTATGCCTTTACCCTGCTTAGTGAAGACACAAAAATCCTTCATGATTTAGCTCAAATGTCCCATCTCTTTTTGAACTCCCTTAACAACCTGTTAACATCCTCCATTACAGCACTGGCCACATTAGATTAAATGCATTCGCTTGCCTGACTCTCCCAGTAGAGTGTGACCTCCTCTAGAACAGAGATTATGAGTGGTGATCATGGCCTGAGTTAGAAATCTGGGATTGACTAGTGATGGAAGATGGAGAAGAACAAGAAGGAATGTTTGAGAAATGCACGATTAATGGCAAAGGTGTGTTTCTAGTTCTTCCAGGATTCATGCAACACTGAACCAATGTTTATTAAGAACTAGGCATAGTACGAGAGGCAGAGATAAATGGTAGATAGGGCAAAAATAGTTGTGTGTTTATGTTTATGTATGTGAAGAGAGAGAGAAGAGGAGACATAGTGTGTGTGTGTACACATCTAGTACAAAGATAGCAAGTTTGTACATGTTTACATATATGGTGTGTGTACATATAATGTGTACACATATATAGTATATAGTGTGCTTATACATGTGTGCATATATACAGCATATGTACACAGGGTATAAATACATCTATGTGTACACATAATAGCACATAGGCATAGAGTTTTTGTGTATAGTGTGTACATATATAGCGCTTTTACATGTTACATGCATATGCACATATACACGGTGTATGTGAATATACATGTGTACATACATTGTGTGTATCTACTAGAATGCAATGCAGTAGGACATTTATAGAGTATATTAGGAGATGGTAGGGAGGATATTAATTATAAACAATACAGGTATATTTTAGTAAAATGAGAAGCACCTTGAGGCTTGCCTCTCTATTGTGGCGAAAGAGGAGCCATTGAAGAGAGAAGAAACAGCTGGAGAATGAAAATGGACAGGAGTTGAGAGAAACCTCACTAAAGCCAAGCAAGAACCACATTCTAAGTTGAGCTGGTTTAAAAATCAAATTCCTCAAAAAAAAAAAAAAAAAAAGAAAGAAAGAAAAAAAAAAAAGAAGAAGAAGAAGAAGAAAGAAAGTCAAGGAAATGGAAACCCAAGGGGGAAAATGTCACTGGATTTGATAATTAGGAAATTAGTAGGCAACCCAGAGCAAAAGTTTCCGGAGGAGTGGGAGTAGAATGACTCAGAGGTAAGGAAGTCGAATCAAACAAACATAGATTTCTGTCTCTTTCTAAAACTTTTGCCTTGAAAGGATGATGGGAGAAGTACCTTGTGATGGAAGCAGAACCAACAACTTAGCTTTATTTGATTCCTCGAAGATGAGAGAGCACAAGCATGTTTGTGAACAAAAGCTTTTAGCATTCTGAACTGCAGTCCATTGGAAAGCATCAGTCACTGCAAACACGACTACAGCCAGGATTTTGGATTAATCTAGTACTTCGCATCTAGTAACTCAAAAATCCCTCACAACAACTCAGCAAGGGACGGTCTGTGATCAATAGAAAAGGAAGCTAAGGCACAGAGAGGTTAAGCAACTTATCCAAAGTCACTCAGCTGGTAAGTCCCAGAACCCAGATTACCACCCAGGTAATCTGGCTGCAGTAGTTGCGTTTGTAGCACAGGTGCAATGAAGGATGCAGAAAACACAGTCATTGACCTGCCTCCTGCTCTCCCAGTGCCTGCTTAGACTGGCCTTGATCTACCTCCCCTGGCTTTCTCCCCTACCCAGGCACAGGCTTTGGCAGCCTTGTGGAAGTGAAGTAGTGGGCCAGGGTGACACTGTTTTAGGGGTAGTAACAAAGGAGGAAGAGAAGGAGGCCATTTGTTGGTGTTGCAGGGTTTGCAGCTCTCTGGCAGTTATATTATCAGAAGAGATGCACAGTATACACTACCAGACCTAAGTTTAGTAGAACTGGCTCCCACTCCTCGTATTTTGTAACCTGGAAAAATGTACTTAACCTGTGTGGGTACCAATCCTCTATCCATAACATAGGATGATGATGAGAATAATAATTATTATTATTCTACATCCCTATGGTGTTGTTGAAAGGAGCAAGTGAGAAATTGTGTGAAAGCTCACGTGCATATGAACTTTTTCTTTACTATTTTTATTAACAGGTTCTCAAGCTATCTGAAAAACTGCTCACCCTCTCCACTTCCCCAGTTCTACCTTCCAAGGCATTAAAAACTGTTAAGACATTCGATTGTGAGAAAGTGTTTCTAAATCTAAATTGTGCACTTTCCATGTGTATAATCTGACCCAAACCTAAAATTCCCTTATGCAGTGATGCAACATGATACATTTTTACAATTCTCTGAGGATAAGCTGTAATAAATTGTCATTATCCATGATTTACAGGACAGCTTTTGCGTGCCTACAGCTGCTTACAACTAATAGTTGCACCATAGACTCCACACCTGCCTGTTTATTCTTCTCTTCTTACTCCAGGCGCCACGTGCATCATGATAATAATATACTACCGTCAATGTAGCATTTTCTCCTCACATCACACTTCCTCTTTTCATGAATTTCACTTTTATAAATCAATACCATCTTTAAATCCCAGTCTGGTCCTGATACAGACAGAGGAGGGGGTAATTTCAGTCAAGAAGCTAAAGGAATACACACGTTGAAGGGAACATGTGAAAACTGGCTGTGAGGCTCCACACGCTGGGGCATTCTGCCAAATATTTGGAGGTCCTAACCATATTTCTTGGGAGTCTCATTTGGCAGACTGTGGAGACCAGGTCTCTAAATGGATGTTTTACCTTTAAACATGACAGTTTGATTCAAAAATAATGAGCCAAGAATTACACACAAAGCTGCCATTCTTTATATTTTGTCAAAATTGTCTTGATTTTTAACTTTACACTATATAAACTATATTCCAAAAACAAAATTAAAATGAATAGGCAGGAATTAGATGGGGCGCATGATGGGTGATGGATGTGTGGTTAGTAATAAGAATATTTACTGTCATCTGCAAGAACATCTGGGACACCTCCTCCTTTTCCAGATGAGGAACCAGGGATCCAGGGCCAAATTTCACTTTATCTTTCTTTTAGAAAGGGCTGTACCTGCTGCATGTGTGTTTTAATTAAGAAAACTGAATATGCAAAAATTCCAGATTTCAGAAGCAATGCTTTGAGGTTCATTTGCAGTAGCTACGGATGGCTTCACAAAACAGGAGCCTCCTCAGAATCGCCTTCTGCATCTATCAGCTGCTCTAGTGTATGCAATTGACTCACCAGTTCTGCAAAGCAAGGCACACCTCCGATTCTGTTCCTCCCCTAGTCCTTTCTTACAAATAATAAAATGATTGATTGCTTAGTGTTAATCTCTTTATGAAACTTTACAGAGTAATCCTATCACTTGCCTGTTATGCAGAAATCAGCTGAAACCCATTAGGAGCATTAGCATTTTTTTCCTCCATGAAATTGCTAGAGCACAACGACAAACAGACCTCCTTCTCCTGCCTCCTTTTCTCCAACAACCCCCGACAGAACACCCTACACCCAGATTCCTCTCTTTCCATGGTAAGGCTGATGGAGGCCTAGAAGCACATTTGGTATGCCCACTCCCTCTTCCCTTTTTGTCAGTCAAAATGCCAGTGAAATGGGAGTCAATACTTATTTGATTCATGTTCTTTTTTTTTTTCTTTTTTAAAGCATGAATAACATTTCTTTCCAAATAAATATACAGTTCTATAAAAAATATAAAAAGGTACTATAATCTTGGTCACTGTCCAGCAGAAACATGTTTGATTGCTTTTAGAGTCAGAAGTCAACACCACCCATAAAAATACGTTCTTTAAGCCAGGTTTTAGAACACTTTGAAACATAGAAAATTCCTTATTCTACAAACAAGTCCTTTTAGAGATACTCTATATATGCCAGTGATGAATGTCTAATTCATATCCAGGATTCAAGGCTATTGCGGTGAGCTAGACTAAGAATACCAAGAACACAAAATTGTATTGATACACAAACAGTATGTAAATTACTTTGTCACATTACAAAAATACATCAGATTTTATCTGTGGTTTTCATCGGTTAATAAGTTAGTTGCCGTAAAAAATATCTATAGCTCAGGCGTTTCTCTTGATTCAAGTGTGAAAGGCACAGCAGTCCCACGTCTTAGGGGCACGCACCGCAGCCACATCACCGCGCTGTGACAGATGCAGTCCGCAGCGTTCCCAATATTTTGTCCCAGTGTGTAAAGTACGGAGCGAAGTTGCAGTTAAAGTGAGAGTGATGCAGGTCGTGGTGCACCACACCTCCGTACCACCCGAACGGCACCAGTCTGTGAGTGGACCAAGGGAAGTTGTAGCCGGAGTGGTCCTCCACGGACAGCCAGATGTTGACCACGTGGAAGGTCAGGGAGGTGAGCGGATGGCACCCGAGCAGCGTGACGTTCATCATGTCGAAGCAGCCCAAAGAAAACAGTTCCCAGACGCTCATATACTGCGTGGCCAGCGCGAACGAGGACGGGTTCTGGTGGTGCACCTTGTGGAAGGTGCGGTACAGCCAGGGCACCTTGTGGTGCAGCAGGTGCCACACGAAGAACTCCGTGTCGAAGAGTAGCAGGCAGAACACGATGTGGTGCAGCAGCAGGAGCAGCTCGGGGGCTTCGTGGGGCAGGAGGGCTGGCCTGCTGGCCCAATGCAGCAGCGTCACGGGGAACACAAACATCACATGCTGGTAGAGGGTCTGCCCCAGGCAGGGTAAGAGCTGCCTCGCGGACGGCGAGAAGTCGGGGTGGATCTTGTAGCGCCGCAGGGCGGGCACCCAGGAGCACAGGATGTCCAGGACCACGAAGGGCAGGCAAAAGGCCACGTATGTGGTGATGGAGAAGATGACCGGGAAGAAGGGCGACTGTATGAGGGCCTCCCAGCTCCTCAGGTGGTCCCACAGGGGCTGCAGGAACAGCTGCTCGGAGCTGCAAAGGACCTGGGGGTCGGAGGAGTTCTGGGAGCTCATGACGAGGCTGTGCAGGCAGCTGCGGCTGCTGCTCGCTTCCCACCGACTTTTCACAGGACTCGCGGCCCCGCCCCAAGTGATGTCAGCTGCCTTTCCATGCCTTTCCCGGCGATACGAAGCTTGAATGAGAAAGCAGCCTGGCAGAGTGGCGCTTGATTGCTGTAAATGTGCTCATCTATAACGGCATCTTATCGGGTTTTAAATGTGCGTGTGTGCAGTGGCACTTAGTGCTTTTCACGTAAGTTCTGATTTTTCAGTTGACTACAATTAACACACGATAATGTGTTCATTTACAGATCTACCGTGTGGAGTTTCTATGAGTTTGGCAACTCAGTTCACGTGTGTCATCACAGGTCCCAAACTAGACCGTTTCCATTGCCACCAGAAAGCGCTCCTTTGCAATCAGTGCAGAATAGTTTGTATTTTTTAATGCACACGTATAACTGCATCCATGTGCTTTCATAAAGACGCAAGCATAACCGCATTTTTAAAAACTTTAAAACGACATGCAGTCTGTAGCTCGGGTGTTTTCTGTATGCAAACGCGGTTGCGGTCTGTCCAGCGGCGATCGGGAAACAAGCCCTTCGCACAGGGAACCGCTGGTTCCCGACCGCCGGCGGTGGCGGTCAGCTCAGGAAATCAGACGGGACGGGTGGCCAGATGGGAACCTCCGCCAGCTCCAGCTTCTCCGGAGAGTTTTCCTGGCCGGCGGTCAGCAAGCTGGACAGACCCCGCACGCAGGCTCTCCTGGAGGGGCCGCGGCCCGGCCGCTGAGCTACCCTCAGCTGCTCGTCCCGGGGCGCTAGGTCAGCGATCGGAGCCAGGAGGCACCACACAGCGGAAAGAGGGCTTCGCGGCAGCCAGGCTCCGCTTTGCCGGGGAAATGCTGGATTTAACGCCCAAATGCTGGATTTAACGCCCAGTCTGCGCCAATCTGGCTAAAAAGCCATTGTATCTCAATTTGGGGTGGGAACACTTAATTCAGCAAACCACCTGCGTTGTTCATCAAGGGAAAGAGATGTTACTGCGTTACTGAAGCCTCCCGGGAGGCTGTTGAAGGACCAGGTGATGACGCCACTACCCTGCCCTTCCTCTTGTTGGCTTTGCGGGGCCAACTGGCCCTCGCCCTCCGCCTCCCTTCCTTGAGTCCACTCCGAGTCCACAGAGCCAGGCTACGGGGCTCGTCTCTATCCCCTGCGTTTCTCCGCCACCCAACTGGGGTCCTCCGGCCAGGGGCCACCCAGCACAAAGAGGTAGGTACAAGGAGAGCTCTTGGGAGAACCTGGGAACAGCACAAAAATCGTCGCGTTCAACCCAGAGTCTGACACATGACACGACACAAGGGTGCCTTAGAGGATAGACGTTTTGGACACCAGCTTTGAAGCCGAGGAGCACTCTTGATTCTTGCTTAGTGTCTTGTATCTATGTGGTTGGGTCCAGCCCTTCACTCCTTGAAGCTTGCATTTTCTTATTCTCCCCGATTCCCCACAAAGGGAAATTGAGAGTATTAAATGGAAAAATAATGTCTACCGTGTAAAACCCACTTACTAGGTGCCACAGATTGGCTGAATGTTTTATTTGAATAGATTTTATCCAATCCTCAAAAGAGCTGACTTCCTCACCCTGCCGAGAAGTAGGATTATTATCACTGCTGTGGGTTTACAGGAGTAAAATCATAGGCCCTAGCACACAAAAACACACAAAGTAATATGCATGGTATTTTAAATTTGTACTCCACATGTTACCTAAAGAATAATTGAGAAATTTGAAATTAAAATCAAGTAAGGTTATGTAAAGAGAAATAAAAGATATAAAGCAATCTATTATGAGGAAAGAACAAATACTACAAAAATATGGACCAATATATGGACCTAAAACTATGATAATAGATGGTATATATGTATACATATGATATATATAATAGGCCAATTCATAATATATAATATATAGGATATAGATACATATAATAGGCCAATTTGTAATTCAGAATCTCCTAACTGGTGTGTGTCCACTAACTGCCACTGATGGAATACTGACATTCCTTAGATGCTCATTCCCAGGAGCCCTCAGCAGTAGCCTCCAGCCCTACAGCAGAATTTTTATTTAACCCAGTGTGCCATGAAAATGTTGTTATATTCTGCTGACATATTTGCTGTTGATGAGATAAAGGTCCAGAAGCAGCATTGAGTTTCTTGACAGCCAATGCAAAAAGGGAACGAGGATGAATTTTTCTAACGCTGCTGCTTTGATTTCTCTATGATAGCAGAAAATAGGTATAATGTAGGCCCCTGGTTTCTTCCAATTAAACAACCTATCCTTGCTAGGCTGTCCACCTCCACCGCACCACCACCACCCCATCCTCTCCCTTCCCCAGTTCTGTTTTCAGTTCACTTTTAGGGCAACCCAGAAACTTTTCTTTCTCATTCCTGCTAGATGTGGTCTTGTCCTTGATGCGGTGTTTCAGAGAAGAGCGTCCTTCTCACTGCTCCAAAGGGACCATTAGAGCTCACTTTCTCAGCCTTACAATTGGGTTTCTGCTCATAAGTAAAATATCGTTCAAATTTACCCTCAACAGAAGTTAGCCCTCAAATTTCCTTTCAGCACACATTGTCCTTTTCTTGTGGTCTCAGTTATCATGCTTGGGTGCTTTGGTTGCTCTTGCAGATTTTTTTTTTAAGTGAGTGGGATTGGCAGGTTTGCTTAATTTGGATTTAGCTGCTAGATTTGCTGTCAAGACTGTCTCCTTTGAGCCCCCAGCCCCAACCAACCCATTCATTTTCTGCTTTGGTGCATCCATCGTCTATTGCTGTTAGAATAGTGTCCATGTACTGATTACAGAAAGCTGTGAACAGTAAAACTTGAGAGCTCTGGCTTCAGCCTGCTTTGTCCAGACTCTCCCCGCTGACTTTGTGGCATTTTGAAGAATTGCAACTAAGCTTCTCTGCCAGCTCTGCACTTGCAGCTGACCAGGACAGAAATTTTTGTCTAACATACAAATGCAAACATCCCAGGGGAATTGATGAATTACAGTCGTATTAGTTCTCCACTCTATATCATGTGGAATGCTGAACAATATATCAGGTAACCAAAAACAGTATCACTTAATGGACCAAAATAAAATTGAACACTATCAAGTGCTGACTAAGATGGTATCATTTCTTGAATTTGGCACACTTGCACCTTTGAACAGTTTTCATTTGCACAAGCATGTAATAGCTTGCTAGATGAATAGGTCTTTTTAGAGCACCGGGTGTACCTTCTAGGACTTCTCACAGTGCCAAACATTGCGTCTTTTATATAATGAGTGTTCAAAAGATATTTGTGGACTCAAGATTCATTTTAAAGGATATTAGCTGTAAATTGAGGCTAAAAAATAAAATCTTTTTTTTTTTTTAATTTTTCTGGAGTGCTGCTTGATGTAGTTTGGATCTACTCACCTATAAAGATGGTCTTCCCTAAAATGGTGTGTTTTCTGATTAGAACTTTGGCCCACACCATTTCTTGTCCAATTGATGGTTTTCCGCAAAAGGGGGTGTTTTCTGACAGGTAGCATTAGAACTTTGGCCATGCCATCTCTTCTCCAGTTGATCATGGCTTCCTGCGTATCATTTTTGTATTGGCATGGTTTTTCTGGCAGGGTTGGAGGACAGGAATCCTTTATTTTCTGCTTATCACAGGAGTCAAGTCACTTTTCTGAGAGTACAACAATCAAGTCTGTGCACACTAATCACAATCTCAAAGTTATATGGCACCAACTTACCAAAAGACTGCGGACACTGCTCCCCTTCCCCCAGCAAACAGAACATGTAGGTAACAAAGCCTGTCACCAATCACATCATCCCTTTTTTAAAATGACCTTTATGATTTCTTTTTCTTTCTCAAATTAGGTAAAGCCATGTGGGCATCTGTCTAACCAAAACTGTTCCTGGATATTAGAGATGTATAGTGTTGTGTAACAGGGAAGACTCACAGAGGTGGAATGATCTCGAATATCAAAATCTAATCCTTCATTTTAAGGACTAAAGATTAAAAATTCAGTCTTGGAAAAGTCAAGACAAGACTAACTAGGGTTAAAAAGCAAGTCACAGCCAAACTGAGCAGAAAAGGGCCAGTGTTGGTTCCAAGGTATCTCTTCAGGAGGAGTTTGGTGTTGGAAGGGGTCACTGAAGCTGCTTTTGTGTGACATCTTACAAAAGACTCAGAAAACATTAATTAATCATGCCAAAAACAATAGGAGATGCTGATGAAGAACGTGGGGATGTCAGCTTCCTCCAGACACTCCCTTGATGCTCCTATTAGTCCAAATACTGGTGCATATTTGGTTTTAAACACTTCATATTTTGATCCACTTACATGTCACATATAACTGGGCGCTTCTGCTCACTCATACTGGTGAAACTCTCACCAACCTCTCTGAAACGTTTAAGGCATATAAAATCATCCCCATTAAAAAGGCATTCCCTTGCCTGTAGAGAAACAAATACTCGCCTCACCCGTCAAAGGGGTTATTGCAAATATCAAAGCCTTATGAAAAGGCTTTGAAACCCCTCAAGGCGCAATGCAAAATACAAAGTATTATTTTTATTAATGCTAAGACAATTTGACAGAGAAAGAGTTTTGCTTACTTAATTTGGAATTGAACTTGAAATCTGCACCTAGCACAACATAATGAAGTACTGGTTGAGTAACTTTTTAAAAATCAGAATTACTATTCAAAGGTGACTTTTAGTGTCACAACATATCAGGGTGACTTATCTTTTGAAAATCTCTTAATACATTAAAAACTAAATGACAAGAGATCAAATTACAGTATATTTTTAATGTTTACATTTAACAGATTAACACCTTTAATACCCACAAACACAAAATAATCATTATTTGGGGATGTCACTAGTCTAAATTTCAGTGCTATATAAGTGTGAGGCCTGAGTTAAAACCTTTTCCTGCCATCCATCCCCCAACCACATCTGAAGTTCTGATCACTCATTTACCTATTAGGCAAATTTTCATTTTCAGTTTA